GGCTGTGTCTTGTTTGGTTGCCAGCTAAGTTTAAACTATCACAATTGAAAGTGAATGATTTGAGCATCAAATGTAGGTTTTTCCTAAAGACATTGTTTTGCTTTATGAGAAGGGAAACAGGATCTTTCAAACCCTGGTAACTATAGGTATATTGAGTAGTCTGGGCTTGAATGCCTTTGGATTGAGTTGACTCTGGTTAAACAGCCCGGTCTCTCTTCCTTGCTTCCTTTTTAATTTTCATTTTTTCAGATTGTGGAAAATGAGTGAAGAGAAAACAAAGAGAAATCTTGTACTTGTGTGTCCCATGAGCAGCAGTGCCCTTCTAGCATTATATCATACAATTATAGCTGTATCTCTAAGTCCCTATGTATAGTTCCCTCTGTATTCTTGAAAAAATAAAATATGTTTCTGGTAATGTGAGTTTAAAAGTAGAATCTTACATGGATTTCTTAATAATAATAATAATAATAATGAACAACCCTGACTGAATGTTCCCTTTATGCCTTCAGATGATGTAGATGGAGGAGATGGACAGAAAAAACAGCTGGTGAATCCCCATGTGGAGCTCCGTGAGTAGTTGTAAATAGTAACTTGAAATCTTAGCTGACAAACTCCTTTCTTTGTGCAAATGTAAAGAAAATCTTGAATTTAATAATTTTTTTTCTTTGTATTGGCCAGGAATGAAAAAAAAAAAAAATCAAGAACAGAGCAATGCAGTTTTTACTTACTGTAATCAGTCTGTTGCAAAAATACCCCATTTAAAAAATACCCCCTCGGGCAGTCAGTGAGCATTGCATGCTGTTACTGAGGAAGACCTTTTTTTGCAGAGTTTTCAGATGCAAATGCCAAGTTCTACTGCCGGATTTATTATGCTGGCGAGTTTCACAAAATGCGTGAAGTGATCCTGGGAAGCAGCGAAGAAGACTTCATTCGATCCCTCTCTCACTCTATGCCCTGGCAGGCGCGAGGTGGCAAATCCGGGGCTGCGTTCTATGTGACTGAAGGTAAATGCAGCTTTGTAATTAGAGGGTATTATTTGGGGATGGTGGTGGTTAGTGTGTTCTTTAATCCCTAATTACCTCTAGACAGAGGGTTGCTGATGGTGAAGTGGCCATGCAGAATGGAAAGTTAAGTGGATTGTTCTAGGGTCTTCAATGTCAGATTATTTGTCTCTTTGTATGTGCAGGTGAACAAAACATAGTTCTGTTTTTCAGTAGTAGCAGCTAGGGAGGCCAGTTGAGCAGAAGGGTTGTACTCTCTTAAGCAGGTTTCAGAAGAAAAAAAAAATCTTTGAGTATAATTCAAGGAAAACTGGTTATTAAAGACACAGTGTTTCTTATAATCCCACATGCTACAGTTGATTTATAGTTTGGGTTTTTTTTAACTGTGACTGATTCTAGGCCCCTACTTAAAAACAAGTCTTGAATGGAAGGGTTGGTAGGCTGTTTCTGTTGTTTGTATAAGAAGCTCATATAGCTGAGGTAAATCTAACTTAGGCACTCTCTTGTCCCTGATTTGTTAGAAGGCTGAAATTCTGAATATATTAAGTAAAATAGTTTCTAGAAATGAACTTCTGTATCTGAGGATCTAGGACAGTTGGAGTTCTTTAGTTTTTCAAACCACTTCAGCTGTGGGACAGTCCTAAAAAACTTTCAAAGAATACATCACCCACTGTGTGTAACCCTGTTGCCTCTGTCTGTTGCTAAAACAGATGATAGATTCATCTTGAAGCAGATGCCTCGTCTGGAAGTCCAGTCGTTCCTTGACTTTGCTCCACACTACTTCACTTACATCATTAATGCAGTTCAGCAGAAGGTATTTAAAAAAAAAAAGTGTTTTTTATTTCAGACAGTGTTCTATATTTTAAAAGCTGCTAACAGTTTCCATTAACCCCTTTCACTTGAGTAAAAGAAAATGCCAGAGGCTATGAGTTGTACTAATAATGTGTTTTTAAGATTAAAAATGGGAATTTTGTTAGAGCTTCTAAGCTTTAATACACAGTCAGACAGAACAGTCGCACCTCTAGCGTTTCCTGATTGCCTGTACCCAGAGATCTTACCCATGTCGTCTTTTAATCAGAAGCCCACTGCACTGGCCAAAATCCTTGGAGTATATCGAATTGGATACAAGAACTCTCAAAACAACACTGAAAAGAAACTGGATCTGCTTGTCATGGAAAATCTTTTCTATGGCAGGAAAATGGCTCAGGTAAGAAGCAAGCATTCTGTTCCCTTGCAGTGCAGTTCTGACTGGGAGCAAGAGCAGGGTTACTAGTAGTTACCTAGATAACTTTTAACTTTTAATGTGCTGTCTATATGTAGCACTGCTCAAAGATGACAGTTTGTGCCTATTTCCTTGTTGTGTGATTGTCTCTAACTTGATGCCTGTATTGGCTTGTTCAGATAGCTGTAGTGCAGACTTCAGTTTTTAAGTCTTATTTGTACCTGCATCTCTGGTGTTTGAGAGAAAGCATTGCCAACCTAATTAGGAAAATGTGAAACCTTTTTGCAAAGCTTTTAGAAGAACTAACTGAGATTACAGATTAATTTGTTTAGAAGGAGTGTCTCACCAACAGAAATGGTGAGCTATTGTGTAATGGGGGAAAATGATTAATGTTTTGAACCCACTGTTCTCTCTCTGAACCACTTTGTGTGTGGGACAAGATTTTGAGTTCAGTCTTGTTCTTAGCAAAGGAAAAATGATCTTTGAATGGCAGTAGAATGAAAACCTTAAAATGGCTGGGGGAAAATTATCTTCAAATACAGAGTTGATGCTGAAATGGAAGTTCAAACAAATGTTGCTTTTAAAACTAGGTAGTATCAATTCTTTCCACTTTTCCTATCAGTGCCTAACCTCAAATAGGAGATGTTTGTGGGAGGAAGTGAAATGAGGGAAATTTAGATGTTGTGGGTTTTCTTTTTGTTTGTCTGTTTTTAAAATAATGAGGGGGGTCAAGCGCTAGAAGAGAGACCCAGAGAGATTCTGGACTCTATCTCTGAAGTTAGTCAAAGCTTGGCTGGGCAAGATTTAAACGACCTTTGCTAACAGGACCTGCTTCAAGCAGTGCATTGTACTGGAGACCTCCAGAGATCCTTTCCAACCTAATGATGCTCAGATGATGACACCAACAGATGTTAAATGGTGTTAAATGCAAGACTCGCCTGCCTCTTCAGTGGCTTTACTTTTGCCAGCATTTGAGTCTGTAAAAGCTGGCTGGAAAACTCAGTTTACCAATAAAATATTAAAATAGAGACACCCTTTTTCCATTAAATTAGGCTATATATTAATGGAATCACTTGCCTAAAATTTGTGAATTGAGGTAGCTGAACTTTCATGTGGGCTTACATGCTGCTACTCTGCTCAGGAAACTTTAATTTTTGTAGTACAAAATATTTTTTCTTAACTGTCTTCCTTCTGCAGAGAAGGAAGGAGTTGCCCTGCCGTGCTGCCTTTTCAAACACTGCAGTTAAGTATGTGGAAGTCTTTAACTTTGCAGAACAATGGAACAAAGTAGTACTGTTCTCCCTTTGCAGGTTTTTGACCTGAAGGGCTCTCTCCGGAATAGAAATGTTAAAACGGACACAGGCAAGGAAAGCTGTGATGTAGTCCTGCTGGACGAGAACCTTCTGAAGATGGTCCGGGACAATCCTTTGTACATCCGTTCCCATTGCAAGGCTGTGCTGAGAGCTTCCATACACAGTGATTCTCAGTTCCTCTCCAGCCACCTCATTATCGACTATTCCCTGCTGGTGGGTCGTGATGATACCAACAATGAGCTGGTTGTTGGGATCATTGGTAGGTTGTCTTTTTTTATTTTCTTGCTTTCAGCTGGTGAAATGTTTTTCTTCTGGTTTAGGTATTTATAGGACTCTTAGAACTGTACACCACCACCACAGAGATGTGTGTCAGGAAAGCTTGTCTTCTCCCTGATGGAGTACCACCCTCAGCTCTCATGGGTGTTCAAAGTGGAGCCAGGAAGTCTTCTGTCCAGCTCTTGTATGGGCTTGTGCTAGCATTTGTATTACTAAGAATATATGCAAGAGGCCTCACAGGTAGTGAAAAAGCAGTCAAGTTGGTGTTTAACCTATACTTTGACTCCAGTTGAAATTGGGAAGATTGTTTGTATGCTTTTATGTGTTTAGTCATTAAAGTTAAGTTTAGTAATGTTTACATATCCATTTAAATTTTAACTTGTGTGAATGGGATCTCAGGAGAAACAATATTGGTAGGAATAGAAGAGGGGAAGTTAAATGTCACAGGATCACTTGTGATCGTGTAGTCTGACCTGGATAATACAGGTGGCAATGTAGTAATTACCTTGCCACATCCTCTGACTTGTGACCAGAAAGCAGAGCTTCATCTTTAGACTGGCAGACTTGTATTGTGCAAAAGACTTGGAGGTGAAGCCATTTGCAGGATGTGGAAGTGACTCTTGGAAATGAGGTTGCCCTTGAAACCTAGCTCAGAAGTGCTTCCAGATGAGATCTTGAGCCAGGAGGTCTGGATTACTCTTTTTTTTTTTTTTTTTTTTTTTAATAAACCTTGAAAGCTGTTCCAATAACACTTCTGGTTGAGAGTTGAAGTCCCAGCTACAAAGAACTACAAGTTGTTATTACTTTCTAGTTTTGTAGATGCTTGAATATTTGGGTAAATAGGATGAGGTTCTGCTCCTTCTGTATGTGTGGCTTTTTGCTGTCCTATGGAAAGTCTTACCTGATTAAAGATGATCTGAAGGAGCTTGTTTAACACAAATAACTTCAAGAAGAGAGAACATGCCTGCTGTATCAGTCTGTCACAGTATTATCTAAATGATACTCTGAGAATTTACAAAGTACTCAAGCTAAATTTGCAGCGGGGGTGGAACTAAAAACTATTAGCTTGGACTGAGTTTGAATCTGAGATCAGAATCTGTATTTTAGATCCTAATGTAATACAGGAAACAAATAAGTTAGGTGTGTGAGGAGCTGTGAAGACTTTATTTTATTTGTAGGCGCTGTTGTGTGTGGCTCTGGGCCTTGGGACATGAAGTGACAGTAGTTAGTGCACTAACTGCTGATATCAATCCCAAAGCACTCTAAGGGAGTATTTTCAAAGAGTATTCAGATAAGTGGATAAGTCTTAAGATTGGCAGGTGTGGATGAGTTTTGTGTAAAGCATAGCTGAGGTGAAACCTGTGGCTATTTATGGTGGGCTTTTGTAAATCTAGAAACAGTAAATTTTAAACTGTATAATTACAGTTGTAGGGAAATATTAGAACATAATGATATCCAGTAATGAAAAATTTAACTTACTGTAGCTTCAGCTTTGCAGACCAAAATGGTCACGTATGTGTAATGACTGAGCATGCTTTCTCTGAAAGGGGCTTGGAAACAATTCCGAAGTCTTTTCCTTGCAGCCCCCTCTTCCAATCAGGGTTACTAGTGGTATTTCCAGTCCTCCATATCATGAAATGAAAAGTGTTTGCTTTCTGTTACCAAACATGTAGGTGGCTGCAATGATGAAGGTGACTACTGGCTTAAATGGATAGGTGTCCCAATCGTGATGCTGCTAGCTGTTGCCGTAAAGTAGTGGGAGCTGTTATGGTGAAGTGGGGCTTCTTGATATGTTTCTGGGATGAGGATCAGCTAATCAGTTCTTGTAAATGAGCCCGTGAAACTCTAATATGGATAAAGACAGACATTCCTGGGCACTCGGTTTTTGTAGAGGCAGGAGGAATTGACTGTGATCTTGCTGGGCTTTTGAGATACTGTATTCGCCCTGCCCAAATATAATCAATACTCTGGAAAGTGAGGCAACTGGTTGGGGGAACTCTGAAGTTCTTCTGGCTATGGAAGCCTACTGCTTTCTTGCCCTTTTTGAGGGGAAATAGATATATTTTAGAACAGTGTTGCTTGGGTTGTGGTAGATATAACATGTTTGTGTGTGGATTTCTTCTCTTCTGCAACAGACTATATTCGCACTTTTACCTGGGACAAAAAGCTTGAAATGGTGGTGAAGTCAACTGGCATCTTGGGAGGACAAGGTAAGTCCCGAATGAAAGCAAAATTTTTGAATATGTGTCCTCGTTACCGAGAAGCTTCCAATAGAAGAAGGAGTAACAAGTTTCAGAAAAATTAATACTTTGATCTGTGTCCATGAGTGACCCTTTAAGTACTATAATTCCTAGGAATGGGGTACAGGTCATCTACTTATCAGACGGATTTTTTCTGTTTCTTAGTTACCAGCTACTCACATACAAAGTTAAGTCATCCATACAGATACACTAGCAAAAAAACTTGCTGCCTGGTTTCACAACATGTTTTCAGAATCTAGAAAATCAGATATACTCTGAGCTGTTAGTGTGGAGGAATCCTTATGGTTGCCTACTGCTGCTATTTTTGAGGAGCTGAGGAGTTCCCTTTGTGGAAGTGTGTAGAGTATGTTTTGTGCAGCGTTGCCTGGTGTTGGCCACATCCTAGTAGGAGGGCTGGAAAGAGAAGAGAAGGGGAAAACTGGATGTACCACTGCTCGGATGTCTGGAGAAGATAAAAGCATGTCTACAGAGTTAAATTCTCCCTGGGAGATGTTTGTATCTCCACTGGAAAACCTCAAAGACTTGTAAACAGGAGAAGAGAAAAAGAAACAAACTGATCAGGGCTGTTGTAAAAAGCCTAAAAGGTTCTTCTAACTCCAGGTCTCTCAGTTCAGTGTTAGGCGTCCAGACCTGGATCTGTCTTCTCTGCTCAATGTTTAAAACAAAATTCTTAAAAAAGGCAGCTGATAATACCTGTTGGTTCCAAGACCCTTCCATACACAGGATGCCTTCACAATTATGCTGTCTGGTGTTGTAATCTCGTATGACATCTGTCTGTACTACAGTATACTCTTTAGCCTGTTTCTAACTGCTCTTTACTTTTACACATTAGGTAAGATGCCAACTGTGGTTTCTCCAGAACTGTACCGAACCAGATTTTGTGAAGCTATGGACAAGTATTTCCTGATGGTGCCAGACCATTGGACAGGGCTGGGCCTGAATTGCTAAGCTAAAACCCATATTGGGAAGGCACAAGAGGACAATGACATTATAAGCCACTCTCTTCCTGTGGTCTGTCCAGCAGTAAGCAAGAAGATTGCCGCTCCATGTCTACACTGACCATGTGTGTCACATTGTGAAGTGTGAAATCTGCTTGTTGCACTTTAATCCTCCCTTGGAGGCTGATAGGCAAACCAGCCTCACTAAGGATCTAAGCTGGAAGGTACAACTGAACAGCATTGATAAGAGACATTCCCTCTGTCAGTAGAGAAGGTGGTGCTATCTCTATGTAAGAGCACTGAAACAGATACTGTCCGGTTCATGATGGTGTAGAAGCACATGATCTCTTTAAGTCTTGTGCTGCCTAAGTAGTGTTGAATATGAGCAGCTCATGTTTCTGTAGTGGGTGCGTGGTACTGCAAATGTGAAATAAAGCCCCCTCTGTATGTGTGGGTGGGTGATAGAAGAATTAAGTTAATTCCAAAGTTCTGCTGTTGCAGTGGTCTGTAGTTGACATGTTCAGGATCCATGAATAACTTGTCCTGCTTATGCTCTTCAGCTTCCAATTTTTCCTGCTTCTGTAAACAGTTCAGGTTTGTTTTTTGTTTTTGTTTTTTTTAAAGGCAGTTAAAGGCCTATAATGCCGTATCACTACATCTTTTAAGTTATATTACTGCAGTACAGCTGTCTTTATTTGTCATAGTTTCATTTTAGCTGAATCTCATAAAAATAGGTTGTCAGTCATCAGCATACTGCAAAACTCAAAACATATCCCTTCAGTCCTAACCAGTACTTTGATCTGAATGTTGGCCAAATTCCTGAAAACAGGTAACTGAAAAATATACCCTTTATTTTAACAAGACTTGATTAATTATAGTTATGAAGCTGATTAACCCTTTCCTTAGCAGAAGGTGCTAAGCTGCTAGACAAAATGAAGCATGCTGCCTTAGAGTGACAACTTTCTCTTTAATGAAATCATCATTCCTGGCAGATCACTACAAATACATTTCAGTTCCCCAGGACTTTCAAACAATGCATTTACCTCATGGTGAAACTTTGCAAGGAGAATGTTTTTCTTGCATTCATGACATGCTGATGAGAATGAGCATCCAAATCTCATCCCACTGTGCAGTCCCAATGGAAAAACTTTTCAGCGGGGTTTTTTTTTTTGTGTGGGTTTTTTGTATCACTGATATGAATGTAGTTGTCTTTCTCCATAAAAAGAAAAACCTGAACTAACTGGTATCTTGTATGATGGATAAGATGTGCAGAGATCTGTGAATCTCTGTTATGACAATAAGCACTTCTTTCAATTTTTATTCAGTTTTACCTGTTTTTGTAGGTGATGAGTTTACTTTTTAGCTTTGTTATAATATAGGCCAGTAAATAAGTGGTTTTTATGAGTTTGAGAGGCAAGAATACTGTCCTTTGACTTCCAGTCTCTGATGGAAGGACTTCAAATGAACATGGAGTCTGGGAGAGTATAGCTCTTTATGACCACTTGCTCGTTCTGACCAGTTGCCTGGTAGTACCACCTTCACTGTAACTATGGATCGAAATGTGCGTTTTGTTCACTCCTCCTGTGTTCAGTATTTTTTTCTGCAGCAGATGGTGGTGGCTCTGTTCAAAAGTGACAGCTGGGCAGCACTGAGAAAGGAAAATGCTAGCAGCGAGAATTGAACTATTGGCTCTGAAAACAACCAGTGTAAGTCAAGTCTGAGCTGTCAGGAAGCAAGTCATTTTTGTTGGAAGAAGTCTTCCCCACCCCATTACAGAGCCCTGCTGGAGGATGTGCAAAGATGCTGACCTTGAAGCAGCAGAAATGAAAGTATTCTCGCTTCCTCTGTACAATGTAATCAGTGTTTCTGTGCGTGCAGTGTTGAAGGCTGCAGTGATGTGTGCTGTGGAAAGATGATACAGTATTTCTTGCTTCCTCTGTCCCAGAATCCCTTTGGTCCAACACAGTGCATCAGGTACAGCTGACCACCTTCGGGACACATCTTGTCTCCTGTGTTGAAATGTACCCCTAGGATGGCTAGCTGTGTGTGGGGCTTTGTGTAATGAGGAACCAGCCAGTCCATCAGCTCAATGCTACTCTCACTTCTGTGGCTTCTACCTTCTCTCTTGGTCCATTGAGGTGAAAGAGCATGCCATGCCGCCTTAATCTGTTCCAGTCTCAGTTAAAGTTTACATGTGTTCTTTCTCCTTACCCTCCTAAAGTTTATAGGGAAAAAAAACTTGACTGGCCTGATCAGCTAAGGTGACCCAACAGCAGCTTCTTATGTTATCTTCCACTTTTGTCAGTGTGTGGATTGGTTGATGGAGCACGAATATGGGCAGTGTCATGTCATCTGCACTAGGCTAATGTAGAGCTGTGATGTGGTAGCCCGGTCCTGTCAGCAGTAACCCTTACTCCTGTGGTGTGTGGCTGTTCTCTACTGCTTCTCTTCCAGAGTCCCAAGCAGTTGGGTCTAAAGCAACATGATCATCTGACTGTAGCTAATGTTCCCCTGTACATGACAGCATGAGGCCCTCAGCACTGTAAAAGTGAGAGAACTTTCAACTCGCCAGGTATTTTGCAGCCAGTGATCGCAGAGCCCCAGGTGTGGGAATTGTGACTTTCTTGGGCTGAAGTTATACCAGTTAGAGAGATTTGTAGGAATGATCTTGAGCTGGCATCAACAGCTAACTCTGGGTCAGAATGTGGCTGGTAAGACTAGTTCTGACCAGACCAAACGGCATACTAGGACTCATGGGTAACACAGTAGCTGCAGTATCAGTTGGAACTGGGACATCTCTGGGTGCCATGTGACATAAAGCTGTAAGTGTTTCTAGTTCAAATCCCAGCAGTTGAACAGATCTCCTCAAACATTCCCTTTTCAGAAGAAGAATTGTCCTGGCATTTCACTTGCTACAAAGCTGACTTTCTGAAATGGAGAGCAATACTTCATGCAGAAGAGATCTTTGAGAGTGCTCCTTGTGGAGCTGTGTTAGGTCTGTGTCCCTGCAGCATACCTGAGGATGTCCTAGGAGAACAGCCTAGGTATTATATGAGCCCTTTGATTAGAGTTTTTTATTTCTTTATAACACAGGTATAGCATATATGTGTGTAAGCAAATGCCAGCTGCAAATATGAAGATGGCTTTTCTTCAGAGCTACGCTGGCTCTTTTTTCTTCTGTTGTTTTGATCTGAAGCCTTGTGAAAAATGCCTCAACCTTGTCCCACTCAGAAGTGAAAAGTCATTGCTTTGAGTCGTTGTGTAGACAGCAGAATGCCTTGTATTGGCCCAGTGATGCATTCTGTCCCTTAAAAGCACATGAGGGACTCTTGCTGGTTAAGTAGCTCCGCTGGGCTCAAGGGATTTATCTGTGGAGTGGACTCTCTGTAAGAATGACCAAAACCAAATGAATTGCTCGCTAGCAGGTGGCCAGACTAATCATTATTTGAAGCACTTAATGTACTATAATGTATGTATTTCTAATCTACCTTGGTTCCGCTGAATTTTATAAAATTGATGTACTAAACTGTTTGAGAATAACTGCCTTGACTACTTGGAGAATCAAAATGTAATGTATATAGATACAAATAAAGTGGCTAAAATATACTTGAGTCTCTTCCATGTGGTGGAGCAGTTAGGTCTCAGCATCCCACTTTCTTGATCAGAGGCTAAGCCCTCTGCTTGCTCTGCAGCAATTGTTCTCTTGGAGGTTCCCAGCTTTACATACAGTGTAAGCATGCCTGTCATGTCTCTATATCTTGCAGATTGCCTCCTCTGATGGAGCAGGACCTCTGGGCAGCTCTCCAGGTCAATGGCAGTAGAATGTGCAAATAACCTTTCATGCACTTCTCCCCAGCTGCTTTTCAACACACAGTGCTATGTGAGACAAGGTGCCAGTTTTGTCTAGCAGATGGTGGTGTGGCCATGGCCCAGTTCTTCCAAGAGGTACAATACATTCCTCAGGAAAAATCTCCAGGTATTTCCATAGTCTTGTTTTAAGTGGACTAGAGAGAGAGAAAAAATAATCCAAGGAGGTCTGAAAATTAATGACATATCTTGATTGCTTAATGTTAACCTGGTATATAGTAACCTCTCTTAAAGCTAAAAATGATATGTAGTTAGTTCTGGGAACTTGTTGGTTCCTAGAATATAAAACTCAAAATCTAAAACTTAAGGATTTTTTTCTGTATTATGTGCCATCACCACTTTGGCAGGTGAGTTTGAGTTTTTATCTGCTGCTATATGCAACTGCATCAGAAACTGTCCCACCATGGGGGTGTGAGCAAGGCAAAAGGTGGGATACTCAATTTGGAGACAGTGCTGCCTTATGCTGGTAAAAGGTTGAGTGGTGGGACTTGAGGGGCTTTGGGCATGAAGTTAAAGAGCACAAATGCAGGGTTACCAGAAGTGCATTCCTCTGATACTTACAAGCGGGACTGCCAATGCCTAGTAAAGGGCAAGAGTGTGTGCTCTAAGCAAAGCTTTTGATTGGTACTGAAGTAATCAGTATTAGAAAATCAAATGGTAATTGCATGTGTTTTCCATTGATGTAACTGATAGTATGAGACATTGGTCAACTTCCCCACTACCACCTTGATTTAGACAATACTAGTATTAAAAAAAAAAAAAGTTGGGATTCACCATCTCAGTCTATGTTGTAATGTCTCAAATTGAGTCCTATGGTGTCCTAATGTGAAGATAATACAAGCAACAAGGAGTACTTCAGTTTTAGTGTAGAGGTTTAAAGTCAGTGCAGGTACAGAGTAACTTTGCACAATAATTGTGAAAGCTTAATTTGTTGTCAGATCTCTGCAAGGAACAAAAAGAGCCCCAAAAATAAGCTACTTAATTTTTTTTTTTTTTTTTTGTTGAGAGGAGTTTTTTCTGTATCTTTAAATGTGTGCATGGAGGCAGAGCCTGCTTCTCAAAAGCAGAAACGGGTAAGAAGAATGGGTTGGGGGCTTATTTGGTAATCCAGCAGGGCAGCAGAGTCAGAATGAGCCCCAATATGTGCATTTTGTTAACACAATGCCTTGTTCTCCAGCCCTGCTGTCTCTCATGGCATGAGAGTTCTACATCAAGTGGTGTTTGTGAGGGCAAAGGCAATGCTTAGTTTAAATTATTAAAACCAGTGCTGAAATGTCCCTGATTATGAATTATCATCTTGCATACTGAGCCTAAGCTTTGCAGAGCTCCAAGTGTGCTAGTTTCTTACACGCCATAAAGCCAGTTCTTGAGTGTTTCCAAAGGTGTGAGGTTGTCATCCTACAAAACCACGGTTGTTCACATGGCTTGTGCCAGTTATAGAGGCTGTTTCTCATTTTAACTCCTGCAGTAGCTTACAATAATACATGAAAGCAGAGTTTTTAGCAGCCAGCCAACTCATACCCTCCATGTTTTTTTCTTTAGATGAGATCCTTTCCCACTAGTCTGTCATTTGTGGAGCTGCTTTTTATTGCACCTCCTTTTCTGTGTGTATAGGTAGTTTCTCTGTTGGAAGCCTTGCTTGTAGATCTCTGTAGGTAAACTTGTATTATCTGAATTAGTTGACATAAGGTCTCTGGTCCTAATCTGAAGGTTCTTTCTAAGTCCTGTCTGAAGGCTGCATAACTAGTCCTTAGTCCTTGCAGCATTAGCAAGCTGTCTTCTGACTCTTTCCAGTGATTTACAGCTCTATTAAGTAAAGAAGTTCTGAAAACACGAGAAATGTGCTAGGTATGTAGGAACATCTTTAAAGCAGCATTTCCCATTCCAGCTCAGCTGTATAGTAAGAATTCCCCAGAACTAACTTGTTTTTACTGTGTATCATATTCTCAGAAAACACCAACCCCTACTTAATTCAGCTCTTGAATGCTTTTTGAAACGCTGACATTTAAGTAAGGTAGATGTTTTCTTACAAGATGTGTTAGATTGTGAAGAATACATGCCAAATGTTAACAGACATGACTCTTGTAGTCTTACTCAAGAAAGAGTCTTCAGAATATACTGATCATATACATTCATTTAGGAAACATTCTTCTTTATGCCCAACTAATTGTAATTAATAATTTCTGTTGGCAGCATACAGAGATGTCTATTAAGAGCTTAGAAAATTAGCAGTACAAGGAGGAGTCTGTTTAATGTTGGGGGTAAGTACTTAATTTCATGTTGATGATTTACCTTTAGTTGTTTATTAATCAAAGTGTGGTGGCTTACATGCAGATGGAAGAAAAAACTAGTAATGAATTCTAGCATAAAGAGAAGACCAAGGTTAAAAGTATTTGGACTTGGAATATCACTGTTTTCACATGCAAAGTTTCAGTAAATGAAATAAGTTCTTTGTACATTCCTGTTGAAAACTTTAAATATGAAAATATTTTACATCTTTTCATAAACTGATAAAAATATATGGACCTTTCACAACTAATTAAACCTGAAGCATGCCCATGAATGGAAAAGAATCAGACTTATCAAGTTTGATCAAAACCTGATCTTTCCAACTGCAGACCATATAAACCCAGTATGTTGCCTGAAACTTTTGCTATTTTGCTTTTGCTACTCTCTATTTTATTTTTATGCCATTTAGCAGCAATAGAAGCTAAAGGAGACAAATGTCTTGGGATCTTTGTTGTTTTAGTATAAAGCATGATACCTCATCAGTTCAGTGACACTAAACAGCCATAGACTGTTTTTATTAAAAATTAAATTTTATTATCCTTCTTTTTATTAAAGCAAAATAGGATGCCAGAGAGAAATTGAAAAGCCATTAGGCCTCTCTATGTACTATGCCACCTATTGTACAGCATACATGTATTTTGTGTGTATTATATGTTGCCCTTTCTTCATGCATATGTAGTTACATGAGAAGGAAAAGGTACAAGGCCAGCCTCACGCTCTGCTGCTTGTAATTTGAAAAATTTGTCAAGGCTGCCAATGTTTACTTAATACCCCAGCAAGTCCTAAGCAACAGAAGCTCGGGAGAGTGCTCATGCCCTGCTGTGACTTGATTGAGGCACGTTGTGGTATTCAGTCAAAACCCACAGGTCATCACAATTGTCCACCCAGCTGAACAGTCACACCAGAGAGCGGTGCAAGGAAAGGAGTGAAGAATAAGGGATAATAAACACTATCTAGTGGTAGCTAAAGGGAGAAGTTGAACCATTGTGGTCATACCATGAAAGTAAAGTTTGAATTTATTCTCAGAAGAGAGGGGGACTAAGGAATGGTGGAACACTGTTTCAAATTGTAGTATTTATTCATCTTTTGTTTTGTATTCATCTTCCACTTGGAAGGTCTTCCTTCTCCATTGCATTTTGAGAAGATTTTTTTATTATTCTGGGTGGTTTTCATGGTTGGATGTTATTTGTGTGGTGGTGTGTTTTGTTTTTTTTTCTTAATAATTTGTTTTTCTGAAGAATGATGCAATGCTCACACCTCTATGATTCTACAGGAGAAACCTGAGGAACCTAGCTACTTCAAGATGTTCTTATTTAAAAAGTGCTGCTCCAGAAGTGTCTTGAATAACCAGTTTAAACCCCTGATTAGTAAAAATTGGATCATGTAATTATGTGAATTTGTCCTTAGAGAGTTTGGAGATAAATAAATAAAATCTTTTTCTATAGTTGTATCTGCATGGCTAGGAATAAAGGCAAGATTTTATTACTCACTGCATTTCCCCCAAGCTGCTTATTGAAAACTGTCACAGAGGGCAGCTGGCAAAAAAACTCCATGAAAATTTGGAAGAACTTCTTAGAAACCTACAACAGCTATAGCTGTAAATTATAGCTTAGAAATTTTAAAAATCGGATGCAAAGAGTATCATGATACAGACTTAAATCTTAAAAATGAACTTTATTGATATTTAAACTAAGTCCTCTTCCCCACAGCCTAAATGAATTTCAAAACCATTAGTCTGGACAAAATAAGTCAGGGTAGAGGATATTTTGATGAGGATAGTAGTGTTGTCTTTTCGTAGTAGTTATCCATATGCTTCAAATGACTACACCAGAAGGAAGTGGTAAAGTAACTTTTTACAAAAACCAGGAATAAAGAAGAAACTGTAAAAATGCCTGTACTAAGTTATTTTTTAATTATATTTTTAACAATAGGGTCCTAGAGTATGTACCCATTATCTCATTCTCCAGGAAGAAGGTAGGAGGTGGGAACTGAAGTTACAGTTAAACATGCAAAACTGACCAAAACAGAGTTTGTATTAAAGTCACAAAACACCAAAATTTTAATTTTCAACTGTGATTGAGTGTGAAGCTTGGTTTGGATGTGGTAAGGTCTACTTAATTAAAAAATAGGTGCAATACATTCTCTTCTTCCTCAGATTAATACACTGCAAAACAGCAAAGCAATAGAGACAACCCTGAACATAGGGGAAGAAGCATTTGAATATCTCAAACTTCTAGAATCTCTTCCTTTTATTTCTTGCTACCTTCTTTATAAAATAAATTACTTGTAGATAACAATGTATTTACAAATTTGTAATACTCACACTACAGGGCCTAGTCACGCCAAATCTACATACAGGGAGAGCAGGGAGAAAAGTCCATCTGACATTCTCAGCAGCATTTTATTGAAAACATGAAACATTCCAATGCTGAACTCCTAACTGCAGCAAACATTTCTGTTGTCATCTTTAATTTTTCTTGTCTATTGAGAAGCTATGAAAAATATTACTCTAAAGACTGGGAATTCTATTAAGATGTATAAGGAGACATCGCGATGTACAGTGTTCATTATTAAATTAAAAAAGGCACTTGCTATCACACTTGCCTAAAGATTATATAAAAACAAACAAAACCGCCAAAACATGTCTGTAAAGAAAAGTGGTAATACCAAAAGAGGTTAAATATGCCCACAGAATACATTCATATTTAAAAAGACAATAATAAAATTATGTCCTAATAACTTAAGCAGATGCTTCTATGGCATAACTTAAATTTTGAAAGTCAATGAAACACTGAGTTTGAAGTCCTTGGGTTTTTTTATTATTTTTTTCAAAAGAAAATAAAAAACAAACCAAAGAAGCTCTTCAAAGTTCTGTTCATCCAGGCACCACCACCAGTGCCACAATACAGTAATCCACTCAAGGGCAGGAACAATGTAATTCAATAACCTATCCTGCTACCACTTAATTTTATTTCTTAGCAATTGACCAGACAATAATGTAACCTCAAAGCAGAATAATCATCAGGTAAAACTGTTTGTCTTTCAAATAGACAATCCCTCAGTGTGTTTCTGCATTGCAGAGTGGTTTGATTGCGTATTCAGCCATAGGCTGAGTGCCACATTCAAAAAGTGTTTGAAAAGAGACAGAAAAATAGAAGGAACTAGTTAATGGGTAGGCAAAAGTGATACAGTCCAATTTCTGGTCAATTCCCACGTTTCACTAGGAAGAAGGTAGTTGGTGTATCAGAAGAGGGACATGCAGAATTCACTTGCAGAAACACTGAATCCTCCACCAAAATGCTTTCATGTCCCCACAGTTTAAACAGAATTCATAGTCATGTATGCCTGTGAACTCAAACTAGTTTTCATCTCTTTTGTCCTCTCATGAATGTAGTCAGCCTTATATTTTCTTCATGGTGTCTTCTATAGTCACAGCTTCAGAATATTTTGAATTGTATCTACCTCCACTATCACTTAGAGTTCATCCTAGTGACAAGAAAATAAATAATTCAGTTATTCTGAAAGTACAAATAAAAATCAAGATTATTGGGGGTTTTTTTCCTATGGTTTTAAATTTCTTTGTGTACTTACTTTTCAACTGGACAAATGTTTCTTAAATAGAATTCAGGGTGCTTCTTAATAGCTGTATATTATTATCTTCTTTCTGAGTTAAAAAGTCAATCCCAGGCTTGCACTAAGCAGCCTCTGTAATTTGGAGCCTGCTTGCTAAATCTAGTCTAGGGATTAACTTCAGGATACGGTGCATCTCAACCATCTATCTTTAATGCATCTGTCCCATGGATATCTACAAATTCTGCTAAGTCTTTCCATAACTAATGTTGCAACTACAGTCTTCTCTGCTACATCTGTGGTCATGGAGAACTGACTTCGAATAAATAATAGTAGCCAAAATGAGACTGGAAGTAAAATGTACCTGGTACTATTTGAAGATGCGGCATTTAATATTTCATGGACAAACAGCAAATACTAACATTGTTTTAAAGGGCTGTTCTTTACAATAATATAAGTCTTTTATAAAAAGGCCCCACAGTAAGTATTCTTACCTTATTTCTAGATTTTTTCCTTTTGCCTTTATTTTGAATTGCTTCTAATTTTTCATTCAAAAGGTCAGCAATACCTTTTGCATCTCTGCTGTCTATATATTCGCCGAGAGCATTTTTCTTAAAAAACAAAACAAAACCAAAAACATATTATCCATGCTCTACACTGAATAGAAAATCTGCTTCCTTTCAGATAAAATGCGAGAGAAATATGCAGGGAAGAAAACAATGGCTCTGGTATGATTTATGATTCATAGATATATTTTGTCTCCGTTTAAACAATACTAATTGTCTTTATAGTAAGAACAACTCTTAACTGCTAGTTTTTAAAACTCCATAAATTTTGAACTACACAAATTTTGTCTTGGTCCTTAAAGAAACCTGAAATAGTTACAGTTTTCTCACAGTTAGTCAGTTAAGTATTTAATGTAGACAGCCATTACAAAGTCTGCCATTTTTGTAATCTATGTTCATCAAATCTGTCAGTGTGAGTCACTACTTTTGAGACCTGAAAAGCCATTACTGTTTACCACAGAAAAGTCTCATTGAATTTTATGGGATTGTGTGAGGAAAGATTTCTTGAACTTCTCCTAAGAGATTCAGTTAAAAAAAGAAAAATGTAATTAAAATAATTGGCTTAACTATCAGAATGCATTGAATACTCTCTCTTCAGTATTAATACATTTAAAAATATGATTATAACATTTGTGAAATTTAATAGTTTTACAAAAATAAAGGCAATTTCCTAGAACTATCTGGTACTTCTCAATTTTTAAATTTATTACTACTAATCTGTTAGTAGGAAATGTTGATCTCAACAGAGAGTCACACTGATAATTGAAATGGTTTGATAAGGTTTGTTTTTGAGATAGAGCACAACTAAATACTTTTCATTATGTTCTATCTTAAAATACATTACTTAAGTTAAAATTATAATGAAATGCTGTGGTTACATTGAAAGAATATTTCTCCTTAGCCAAAATGAAATTTGTCCACATTTCATTTAGAGAAAGACTTTGCTTGCTTTTGGTATCTAGTGGTGGAATCAGTAAAGGTTGAAAAACATTTTGTCACATGAGACCCCTACGAGATTAAACTCTGGTTCTTGCTAAGCTGACATTTAATTACTGTTCTGTTAATTTACAATTTATTATTTTTCAACAACACATTATTACTGTATAATCGTCCTACTATTTTAAATATTACTGAAATTGATTATTGTTGTACTTATCTCCTGAATATCTAAATAATGCACTTCAATATGTTACAGACATAGTCTCTTAAGTCTTAATGTGAAATCTACTAACAGTACCTGCTCACCAGCGTGAGACACTTTACCTTTGTTCCTTGGTAGGGGTAAAACTTAACAGTAGGGTAGGCTCTGATATCGGCAGTTTGACAGGTCTGAGCGTATGTCTGACAGTCTACTTTTCCAGCTTTTACTTTTCCTTTCATGGTCTAAAAAGAAATGTTTATTAGAAACAATCTTCAAGCTTTCACGGGTGACTGCAAGCAAATAACTTGAATAAGCCAGCAGTGCACCTAGAAATAAATAAAAAATGTTGCTCAAATCTTTTAAATATCTGAGTAGTTGCTTGCTTACTTCTCAGATTGTTACCCTTTTATCAGAAGTCACTATATGTTCAGCAGAGCACTTCTACTTGAATTCAGGGCAAAGCACATTACAGTTCCAAAGGTCACCCCATCATAAGCTGAAATCTGTCTCAAAAGAGGCTCTGTGTGTGTATCTGTGCAAGAGACAATACCCACTGACAAGTGGGACTTAAAAGTGTGGACTTGCCACGAGGATGATCATTGGAGGTATGTAATTTTTGGATGATTGCTAAGAAATAAACTGCTGATGAATTATATTTTAACCATTACATGTATATCAATCTGCTAATACAGTTAAAAACCTACCCTTGCAAGGATCTCAAATTCAGGAGCAAAATTTTGGCAAGGTCCACACCAAGGAGCATAAAAATCAATGACCCAGTGATCTTTTCCATTCAGAACTTTTTCTGTGAAACTCTGAGGCGTCAGGTCTACAGACACTTGTGGTAAATACCTGTGGAAAGGAAGAATACCAGCCATAATCCAATCCAAACTTCAAACATATCCAAATTCCATTTAAGCATAAGAAAAATTTCTGAAATGAAGAATATTAGTAGTCTGAAAAGCCCAACCTTAGACTTTGTACTATAAAAATAACTTTTTAAAAAATGGTAGACAAAATAGTATGGTCTTCAGAAAATGGATGGACAGTAAGGAGTATGCTGTTTCTTCAAATTTTAAAAGCTTGAGTTAAAAGAAGTGGAAACTTTAATATCTTAAATGAAGCAATACATATACCTGTTTGTAATTCTTGATTTACATAGTATTTAAATATTAATTTTTCCTAGCAAGAAAACTATATAAGCAGCTTGTGAACAAAGTTTAATACAGTAACTTACCCCAATGCCCAGCCTCTCAGTGAATATGAATCTCTGTGCCATCCATTGTAGCTACTATAAAAAGATTGAAAACAAAAATCTACTTGCGCAGTAGTTTGAAATATGTTTGACCAAAAAAAAAAAACGTGTAGAGATGATGAAATAATGAACTTAAAGGCATATGTTTTAGGATATATTTCTACCTTGCTTTCAAATCTGAATAAGTAAGTCTCGTTAACACAGTTAAAATACACAGAATTAAGGACTAGGAGATGAAGAGAAAAAAAAAAGAAAATTCTGTATCAAGACAGTAAGAAACTTGGTTTGGAGCACATAAACTTTCAGAACTAGAACTGTTTTGAATGAGTATCTTTGGTAATAGATAAAATTGCAGGCTCTAAGAAACATGAGAAAAATTTGAAATATCTTAATATATTTTCTAATTGATATTCACTCATTACAATAAAACAATTAGTCATTATATACCTTTCCCTCAATTTGACAGTAGAAAAGCCAGGCAAACTGGTTACTTGGACAAGAATTTATTATTTGGGCTTTCAAGGCATTGCTTAGTTTTGAAATTCCAGTGACAAGTTAGAAAAAAAGATTAATTCAGGACTCATATCTGATAATTTACAACTTTATGACAAAGTATTTTTCAATAAAGTTACCTGGTCAAAATCTGACTTATTAGTTTTTTTAGTTTATTTTAAGAGACACATTTCCATATTTTTGCAGGAAATAGCTGACTCATTGTTAGGAATTTAGCACTTAGTCATATTCACCAACTTAGTTATTTTCAACAAGAAAAAAAAGTGCTTTTAAGAGAAACTTTATCTAGAAGAACTGAGTAAAAGCAAGTAGTCTAATGATGAAAGCTACTGAAGTCTGGTATTATGCACTATGATTAAGAGGCATTACAATTTATTATCTACTGGCATTTAATAGAACTTTCCAATTTGTAAAATAATGAAGCAATACATTCACTATTTCAGAGTGTTATCTATCTTTATGCATATGCTTCCCAAAATCCCTGGATCTAAAAACAGCACTGTGTAATGGAGGTGACAGGCTGTTTGGTTTTGGCCAGATTTCATTTCTCCCTCCCCCCTTTTTTTTTTTTTTAAATGATTAATATTTCCACACTAATGATACAGTGAACAGGATGACTAGATATATGACTTAAAATTTTTGCAGTGGTACTAACAGACTTTTGGCAGGGAAGATGATCAGATGGCTACATCACTCTGTTCTCTAAAGCTACAGTCAATTAGACCTAGTAGTATTATTTTTTATTATATGCTTTAAATCATCTACTTTAACAGGCAATTCAAGTTAGAAAACTGGCCATCTATAAAGAACAAGAAATAAGAGTTATGATTCCTGAGGCAGTCTCAGTTCAAATTACTGAAATGAAATGGTAACATGAAATGGCACTAGTTTGAAGTAATAAAGTCAGTACATTGAGGACAGTAATACTGTAACAGCCTATTTTAATGGCTGTGATGAACCTATATATTCATCTTGTTCCACATCATCTAACATTTCCCAAACTGAAGTAAACCACTTACTAATATTGATGAGCTGTGTTTGATTTTCGAGGAAAGAGTCTTATTTCAGGATATCCCCGAACACTTTCTTGGTGACAGAAAGAATAATATTTTTGACAATCCACACTGCCTACGCTGATTAGTCCATTTAACATCTGAAAAAAGAAGAAAACCTACAATCAAATATGCTAATCAATAATACTACAATTTCAGTAATACTTCAGAATTTAAGTCTTAATCAAGACAACCCAGATGATTGTCAGTAAAGTAATATTACCTTTGCAAATGAGAGAACACTGTAATGACCTTGCAAAACAAAAACACCCTCCCCAGTCCCCACAATTCCATACTAAAGTATGTGTAATTCAGCTAACTGACAATCAGCCTTGAACATTTATATACTTTCAGTGAAGAAAATAAGATCTCAGAAAAAAGTCTTACTAATATAGAAAATAATTAAGATGGATAATATTGAACTTGTTTAAGCTTAAATTCAAGTCAGAGGTTTCATTAAGGTCTAAGTGCTATCTTAAAGATCACTAATGGTAATAAAGAATACTGAGAGTGGCAAATTATTTCAATCAATTCTTATCTAATTTATGGGTAATTTTTTTTTCATATTTTGTTTTAAACAAATGCAGAGCTGTTGTCTGTATAAAGCACTATGCATTAAGGCAAGTTAGCTACTCTAAAGCTTCTTAGATCTTGGAAAACACACTTGTATCAATACAAAAAAACTGGATTACAGTATCAGTGTACTGAACCATTAAAAAAAACCCCAAACAAATAAAAACTTTGTATTCGAAACAACATAAAACTGTTGGGCAGGAATTCCCTATTTTGCCTGCAATATTAATAATTAGATTTTCTCAGCTGACAAATCTCTATGACAGCAGTTGTACTGTCTCAGTAATTCTACGGAACAGGACACAAAAGCAGAATAAACATTTGAATGTCATTTACCCTGGCCATTTTTTTCCATTCTGGCATTAAAGCCTGACAGGGTCCACACCATGGAGCGTAAAAGTCAACCATCCAGATTTCCTCTCGTTTTCTTCTCTGAACTAATTCAACAAATGTCTCTGGTGTTAGGGAGACCACCGACGGATTCCTAAGATCCTAAAGTAAAGACAGTTGATAAACATATACTTTGCAACAATAAGTTATCCCATATCTAGCGCCGTTACATAGAGACACTACCAAATTCTTGAGAATGTCCCTCTTTTAGTGAAATTTACTTGCTGCTGTGGTAGGGAGGACTCTATACTACTGAAAGGCACAGAAGCATGAAAAGTCATCCCTTCAACCTAACAATCATATGCCTGACTTGCTGAGAAGAGCTGTCAAAAAATACAGCCAGGCTGCAAAAGGGAGGTCTGCCTCTTCTCCATAAGGGGAGACAAAAGGCAAGAAATTCAGCTTACCTGGCAAGAACAGGCATTATGAGACTCAGCCATGCTATTTAGGCTGGGATGCAGAGGAATACATACAGTGCACTAGCAGCCTCAGAGTATCAACTGAAAGAGACTGATCTTCACCTGTTTCTGCACCTGTGCTCTTAAACCTGCTTTTTCTGGGCTGCCTGGAGGGAATGAACAGTCACTTCAGAGAGTGGAAAATAGCCTGCAGATCTAGCAGTGAGAGAACCTGGATGCTGGAGGGAAGATGGGTGCCAGAACTCTGCAGCAACAATGATTAGTACCAATGATTTGCAGTTCTGCGAGTTAAGAAAGTTTAAGAAACAGCTGAGAAACACAGAGATTAGCAAGCCAATTGTCAAAATGTAAAACTCCTCCTATGTCAAGGTGTGTACTTGAGACATTTTCACCTTAACATTACAGCACTTCATGCTTTTAATTCCTTTATCCCCTCTATGAGATAGAAATCATTACTATTACTTTGCAGATTGGAGGGGATCTTAAGTTATTAGCTAATGATCTCAAAGAAATGACTTGACAGAGTAGGGAAATTAGTCCCTTGGTTGTCAAGTCTCTGACTGACAATTGCTGGATTACTTTTCTTGCCCAAGGTTTCTTTGATCTTTATTTTACTAGTATAATTAATTAAAAAAAACCCCCCAAAACTTAGAATCTTCCAACTAAAGAACATGTTTGTGGATAAGCTTCTTACAGAGCACAACTGCAACAAGGATTATGATTTACATACCTCTATAAACTCCAAGATCTGCTCAGCAGAGTGATGTCCTTCATATTCATGAACATCAGACTGATTGAACACAACTGTTGTTGGATAAGCTCGAATGTTATGCTAACAAAACAGACAGTAAGAAATTTCAAGGCATTATTAGGTTTCTTGTACTTCCCTTTAACTGCCATCGGTATTGGTGGCTCACAGCTGCTAATCTGTCCAGTTTGTACAAGTGCTCAGACTTACATGTGGATTTGAGTTTGAAATCATTACAAATGGTTACAGAAAAATTGCCAGCTGCATTCAGAGATGAATTAAGTTCGTTCTGAATTTAAAAACCAGCTAGTAGTTCTTTTGCCATGCTCCACAAATAAAGGAATGAATCCACGGGCCTTCCACGCCTTAACTTTAAAGCTATTCCCAGTCTTCAGGGGAAAACACTTGTCCTGTACAAGTAACTATTGTTTACTATTGAACATTAGATGCTGCCATGATTTGAATTATTCTCTGTGTGAACACATTTAAATAAAACTTTAAAAAGATTGTTCTTTTTTACTCATTTTTCACGTGTTTTAAGACATTAACATTTTAAAGATAAATATAAACATTCTAACATAAAAAGCTCTTGTCTATAATGAAATGTGCAGTTGCAGGAAAACTGTCAAAATGTAGTCTTCTGGAATTCAGGAAAAGTAATGTCAAGAATTTCTACTGTGATAAATTCACTGAAGTTAAGCAAATTTAAACATGGAAAATTGGGCAAGATTTAAAAAAAAATATATATTTTTTTCATTCAATTACTATATCTTTACGTAAGTGTAAACTGGTAAGTAATTAACTTTCTTTTATTTTGAAATTCATCCTGCACTTCTTAAGCAGTACAAAACAAAAAGCAAAGGGTGAACTGAATTAGAAGTGGTTTTGCAGACACCTTTGAAAAGTGTTATATCAATATAAAAGTTGTATTTTAAAATATTTTATTGCTTTTATCCTCCTATGTGAAGAAAAAAAATAATGCACATGTACACTCTACAAAAAACTTTCTGAGTCTGCTTTAATTCTTCTTTCCCCCCTCTTAAAAAAACCCCAGGAATTATTAAATTCTGACACTTTCAGAGTCTTCCAGTAACGCTATGAAATCAGAGGAAAATGTGAACTGTATTTTCCAACAGTATATTCTCTGTAGTGGCTACATAGTTTGTTCCTTTGAAAAAAATTATGATTCAAGTGTCCTATTTGGTTTACTACCCTTTAAGAAAATAATATTAAAGAACAAGCATTGTCTGCCCCCGTATCTCTACCCCCAACTAGAAGAAAATAATATCTTTGAAAGGATTATATATATATTGTTGTTTGGTTTTTTTGTTTGTTTGTTTGTTTTTAAGTTCCTGCAGCTTACCATGTTGCAAAGCCCTTCATGGACAGTACAGTCTAGTGTTCCAAATTTAAGCTGACCATAAAGATGTTTTGATGCTTTTCTCAGCTCTGGTAACAAAGCTCGACAAGGAGGACACCACTAGAAAACAAAATGCAAGTAAGTGCAATTGCTTTCCCTGCAATTGGCTCTCAGGAGAATGTAAGCTGTTTGAGATTAATAATATGCTTGCTGCTTTGACAACAGACTCAAGTAAATACAAAACCCACACAGTCTAGGAACTAGTGCTGCCAAGGAATGAGAAATTACAATACCTCATGGTGCTGAAGGACACTTTCAAGATACTGCTCATATTTTGTTACATGCTTACAGAACAGATTTTAGAAGAAGGGAAATATATATATTAAATATTTACCGGTGCAAAGAAATCCACAAGCCATGGTTCCTTTTCTTTGTCAGGAAAATTCTGAGGTCCCAGTGTGATAACATGAGAGCTGACACTTTCTTTGGCAAATGCAACAATGTCATATAAGATCTTCTTTCCTTCAAAGAACAATATAGAAAGGAAACTTTATTTTTACCTGTAAGAGATCTCATTAAAAAGCTCAGTGATAGCAACGGGAACCCTTCAGTTCCCTTCACTGCTCTTTAAACATGACCTGCTTAAATAAATCGAATAAGTAGTGGCTTGCTTTTTCTCAAGAAGACAATGTTAAACTGTCCAAACCTACATAGTTAAGACATACCTTAGGTGATAGTTGATACTAGGCTAAATATTAAACTGAATATTTACCTAATATTAGCCAAATAAATGTTTTATCCAAGACAAAACATGTTTTTGTCAAACAAAATGAATGTTTTGTTGTGACTGGACTGCTAGCTGTTTTACCATCTTACTAGTGTTGGAATTAATAAGTTACTATTCCAACTATACTTGCCTTGGTAAAGGTACTGACACAGTAAAGACTTCAAGCAAAATAAATTATATTGATAAATCACAGCTTTTTAGGGATATATGACCCTTTCTTGGCTTATCTGCAGGAGTGGAAATTTCAGAGAGTACATAAGGCTTTTCCCAGCAGCAATCATTAGATGTATGGGATCATCTTTGCCCCTTAGATATGACTAATCTTTTCTAAGTAGTCAAAGCTTTTCTCCTTTATTCTTTATTACAGTACTGAGGTTCTGACATAATTCTAGCAAGGTGTTTCTAATACTTTAGAAGCTCATCTTGCATAATTGTCTTGTGCCACATTCTCAGTTAAGCTATACTTGTTTCTGCAAGCTACAGTTTTGCTTCAGACTTTGTTCTTCCAAGAAGCATTTCTGAATCCTTTCAGTGGTACACAGTAACATAGTTCCAAGCTTTCCTGGAAGGAAACTGCTACATTGGAAGTGGGAGTAAGTGGTAAAAGTCTCAATATAGATTTTCTTGGATGGAATTAAACAAAACATGGAATTAGTTTTAGTGCAGTGATATATTAAATAAAATCCAAGTTTCTCAAATTGGCAGCACTGTGTAACTACCATGTTAAGCTTCTACGAAGGGTGTGCCTCGTAGCATTCTTTGGTTATCCTACCCAAAGCAGAAGCTGTCCTGATCAGCTTCAGAGATTTCATTTGTGTCTAATTATGTAAATGACACTGAAATAGACAGAATAGTAAAGACAAAATACATCTCTTGGCATCACTGCTTACCTGGGGAAAAAACACCAGTGGAAACGATAAGTTTGTGCAAGGCTACAGTAAGGTCAGGGGAAAATAGCAAATATTAAAACTACAAAACTGTTCTTTGGGAAAACAACACAGTTTGCCAAAGATATCATCATCTCGAAGTGATTATGTAATGATTTAAGTTTGCCAAAGTTCTCTTACCATGATGAATTTCATAATCTCCAGTTCCTTTTCCTTTGAAGACTGCTAAACAAGGCTGATAGACATACAGTTTGTTGCAGATGGTTGGTGAGGAAAGACAGTCAAACTTGCCAACCTATTTAACAGACAGTGCCATTTTAATTAAGGCATCCTAATATAGATTAACATATTTTGAAAGGCTGTGAGAGTTAGGATAGATTCATTAAAAAAAGGTAAAAATATGGAAAAGTAGTAGTCTTTTTATGAACAAAAGAAGTCTTAAAATGATCTTGTAACTATGATGTTCAAGGAAAACTGCTAGCACAGCTGAATTAGGTTGTTTGCTAATTTTTAATTTAAAGGCCAAAATGGAATAAAACCTTAAAGAATCCTCTTTTTTTTTTTCCACCTCCAAACAAAACAACAAGGAAGGAAAAAGACAAGCAAAATAATTTTTTGTGACATTAATATTATTCTAGTCAATGCAACTTTTTTTTTTAAATACATAACTTATAGAATAACATAATCCATATGTCTTTAGTACAAAGTTTGAATTTGGTTTCTTTTTATCAAGAAAATTTTCAAAATAATCATAGGGTTTTCTGAGTAATTAAAATACAGTTTCACACACATCAATTTGATGTTGAAGTGTTAACTTTTAATTGTTAACTGGATGGGATCTGCTGTAACATTTCCCATGAGAGAGCAGATTTAAAAGATAATCTTTCCTAACTACTTTTAAATTATTCGAACCGTATAGGAAACATCATTGCTTGCTTTAAATTAAAAGCTTTACTACAGATCTACCACATAACAGTATATCTCTTTCAGTATCAGAGGTGGCAGGTATTAGTAACAGGTAATAATTATGAAAAACATACTGACTTGTTCTCTGAATGTAAATGGTATTTAATACTAGATGAGTGAGCAGCCTTACCTGAATGTGTTCATCTCTAAGTAAAAATTTGAGTTTCTTAAATTCCTGTACATTTGATTTATCACTCTCCCCAAACTGGAAGAAAAGCAGCCATCGGTGATGAGCTAGACGGTCCTTTAAACAAAGGAAAAAGCCACCAACCACAACAAAAACACACACACACACAAAAATTATTCCCAACTTATTCCAACTTATAAATTCCTCTTATGTTTTATAAATGCAAATGCCCAGTTACTCAACTGATCTCTGAGTGACCGCCTCCACTCAACAAATTCTTTCACATAGTCCTTCTACTAAACTTCATCTTATTGCATCATAAGCAGAAAAGAGGAAAAAATCTGAAAACAAGCTGGCTACATGCTACCCTCTATACTTTTTCTTTCCATGTGTGTTTCCTATTGTAGATCAAGCTGCTAAGTGCAGCACACAAGGGTGAAAAGAGGTTTCCTCTTTTTTTTTTTTTCCTCCAAGACATGAGTAACTTTTATGACTTCTAATTTCAGTTCGTACATAACTTGTAATGGATTAACAAGTATTCTTTCTTTCTTACATTACTAACAAAATGCATTTAAATTAAAATTCTCTACAATGTAGTTGATTTAAGAAATAAATAGAAAGCTACAGTTGCAGAGTGAGTTACTATGGCAATTTCTGTGGTTTTCTATTTTCCTATTAAATACCCCCCCTTTTGTTGTTTTACTAAACAATGAAAATAAATTTAGACAAACAATGTTAAATGCGGTTTTTTTTCCCCTCTGTAGCTAAAAAGTCATTTTCAGTTAAATAAGTACTAAGTTGTTTTATCAAGAGGATTTGAAAAATGTAAAAAGTAATGATAAAATATAAAAATACATTATTTAAAGATATCTTAACATATTTTTAAAAATTTACCTCTAATGATGCTGCAGAGATAATTTCAAAGTCTGGCAGATGCTGCATTACTTCCTGATATATTTCTCTGGCATCCAAAGAGTTAAGAAACTAGGACGGAAAGTTAACTGTTTATTATAAGGAATTACAAACATGAGCCTGATTGTTGATGATTAATACTCAAAGTGTCAGGGAAATTACTCTGTTATTCTGATTTGTTCCTTTCCATCAATTGAAGAGTACAGTTAATAATATATAATTTAATTAACTTATTTTTCTTGTATAGTGTTTCATGAATATCACCCTCAGAATACTGCTTCTTAGCTTGTTTTCCCACAATGTTAAACTCAAGATACCGTATTTTGTCAAAACAGGTGCTAAAAATTTCAAATTTCAAAACAAATTTTCCACTCAAGTTGACAAGATTTCCAATCTAGTTTTACAACCTTCCTTAACTGCACTGTACCGATATTTAAGTTTCAGTATTTTTTTAAATTTAGGAAGTAATATGAATCAGTAACTCAGAGTGGATAATTTACAAGGTTGAAAGTAGGTAGGTTACAAATTTAATTTCCTCCTTTTAAAGATACAAATAACAGTAGTGACAAGAAAGGAACAAGCCATGCTTCAAACTGGGAAATGCCTCCCATCAATTAAGGAAGTTAAAAGTACCATACAAATGTAGGAGGTGTTTGCAATATTAGAATATAGCTGAACAGCGTAATTTGTACCGACAGACCACACAGGAGGACTCTTATCTCACATGTCAATACTCTGTTCAGAGTAGCATTTCTCAAACTTGTGACACCCAAGGCATATTCCTTCTGGGATAAAAACTGGGGGCACATGGCAAATCTCCCAGGCTTGCCCAGGATAGCTGGGTAGCAGTTTCAGAACTAGCTCTTGGATCTGTCACAGAGCACATCCCACTCCTCAATTCCCACAGGCTCCTGAGGAGGTGGCTAGGAAGAGATCGAGGCTGCTGCTACTGCAGCGTGCTCCTGTTCACTCTCCCAGCATACCAGCAAACTGGGGACCACCTCCAGGGATCACTGGAAGTGAGGAGGGATATAAACTTATACCAAGGCATACAAGCTTAGGAAAAAAAAAAAAAAAAAGAAAAAGAAAAAGAAAAAAGCATCTTTTCAGTTGTATATAATAAATATGAAAATTATTTATAAATCCCTTTATCATTATCATCACCTTATTTTATCTAAATACCGAATGGTTGAGAAACAACTCGTACCAAAACGCCTCCTTTCTCTTTGTTATTTATGGTTGCTCCAGGTGGAAAGTATGCTGTAGTACTAGATGAGATATCTAAATTATCACAAAGCTCACCCTGGGTGCCACAGTCCATCCAGCCTACATTAACAAGACCTTCCTGTAATAAAACAAAACAAAAAACCAACAAAACCAAACACAAAAACAAAGACTATTTTTTAATTTCAGGTTCAGAAATGCTTTTGAAAATCCCAACACAAGCAATAATATATAACATTTAGAAAATGGAAGGAGACAACATTGTTAATATTAACATTAGTTAATATTAATTCATCTTTTATAAAATTCTTTTAAAAATTAATGTTATTCCAATAACTACTAAGTCAAAACATTTCACTCTTCTGAAAGTTAATAGGTGAAATTTTGGTTCCAGTAAACTCAGTGAGAGTTCTGGCTACTGCTTTATGCTTTCACTAGTGTCATTTTGTTTTAACTATAACAGGTAATGCTTTCAGAGTGAAACACTGCTTACCAACATGCCAGCTAGCTTAAGGCGCGTTTGGAAACTCAAGCAATCTGCAAAATAAAAATTTATTTACAAACATAAAACTTCAAATTACTAATGCACTAAACCTACTTTTGTTTAGAACTACCCCTCCTTCCTTACAAAGGTGACCATTTCAAAAGACATGCTTCCCAGCTACTCATCCGGTATTTCAGTGACTTGTAATTATAACATTTAGTAATCAGCACTTGATGGTTGTCTACTCAAGTTAAAAACAACATGAAAAACATTCTCTTGCTTCGTCAACACAGAATTATCAATTTAAAAGTGTTAATATTTTATTTGCTATACTATGACTGACCTTTAAAATTTCTTCTTAACCAATGTTTAAAAAAAAAAAAACCAAAAACCCAACAGGTATCTCTTGGAACAAGATTTCAATGGAAATACCAGTTTTCTGTGATTCAAATAATAACTCACTATAATAAATAAATCATATGCTCTAATTACCCATCCAGACTTTAAATAGTTAGCTTCTGATGCAGATTTTTTTCTGAAATAAGAAGATGCATCAATCTCATTTTAACTGGGCCTAAGTTGAAAACTTAATAACAAAAGGACTGCAACTTGAAATCAAGCTATTTTCAAATGTAAATCCAAGACTGCAGCTCTGGTTATTCAGTTCACAGTGCAAAGGTCTCTTCATAAGACCAAGAAATCTTTATTTGTCAAAGGTGTAGTGCATTTACTTAGCTTGACCAGCTAACCAAGGCAACTTTCTCATATGCTGGATCCAATACTGATCCCAAAAAAAAGTCAGTGACAAACTGCTACAAAAAATAATGCAAATCTAAACTCTGTCATGACATCAGTGGTAAGAGCCAACTGCCGTGTCCAAACCTAACTCAAGAGAAAATATTCAGCCATTTTTTGAGTACTGGTGGTTTAATGGGGAGATACATCCTTTCTTCTACTCAGCTATCATGACAAGCTAGCACGCACCTATACAATATAAGTCATTTGAGCTTGAGCTGGAAACTGAAGTCAGAGGCCTTTTCTGCTGGTTCCCTTCCTGAAATGTTATACTTGAGTGCTGCTGTAACGACTCACGTGACATTACAGAAGCACAATAGCATAATCTATTAATGTCTCTTTTGTTAAACTGCCTCTAAAACAGAGCTTAAATGATCCACAGTCCAAATACTCCGATTATATAAGGTGTTTTACAGCTTTTTATTACACATGAAAGGGATTATACCACTATCAGCAAAAGTACTTTTTTTCTGTTTGCCTTATTTGAAAAGTATTTCATACACCTACCCCCACGTTCAGCACAGAAGGTGATCAGCCAACCAGTGCCAGAAGCAAATGAAGTTTCAATGGCATTAACAAAGTTTCAAATGAAACAATTTGCATTAGTCTGACTAGTTAAACGTGACTGTGAAACAAGGTTTTATATTTGTATTATCAAATTACAGTATCTCAAAAATAAGATGTAGCAAGAGCTGACAGATTCAGTTGTATACATTGTTTCTGCCATATTTTATATTGTAAAAGCAATTTCAAGAACAACACCCCAAGCAAAACATCTAAACATTACCTGCCCATAACTCAGTGACTGTGCTTATAACATATTGCATGGCAAAGTTCTTTAAGCTCTCTTTTGATCTGTCTCCATAATATTTCACTGGTTGCTACAGAAGACAAAGAATAAATTTTATAAAGTTAAAAAAAAAAAAAAAAAAAAAAAAAAGGAAAATGAACCCAAAACCTACTCTTTTTTTATAACAGTACTTAAGTGGGACCTGCCCCCCAAAAATGTTAGCTCTAACTGTTCTCTCCCTCCTGTATTGGAATGTTTGGAATTTAACTTTTATTTAAATTTTGTAATGTGATTTCTTTCCAAGTACAGCAACACAACAATAATTTAGTCTTAGAAACACCAACTCCCAATGATTATATTTCTATTTAAATAAAAATTGCTTGCATCAGCCCATTTAGCATATGCATAATCTCTGCATTCAACCTCTCAAATCTTATCATTTTCAAACATATGAACTTTTCAAGCGCAATTTGTACACCACTCCTGGCACCACTACTTAATAAGCAGCTATAAAGTGTGGTGTACATAATGCAGCTAGCATGAGGGAAATCTTGTGGAAAAAAGTTTCCAAGTTTCTCTAGGTACTCGGTCAGATTTGTCAGACTCAAAACCACAGACTATTCTTTGTTTTTGAAAAGTCTATTACAATACTGTAAGAGAAACTGTGCAAGTAGACTTGTTGCTTTGCTACACCACCACTGCTGACAGTATCTTCCCAAATCAGAAGTGCTATGTTGCATGGTAAAATGATTCAAAGAAAGAGCACTGTCTAAACCAGATATCTATTTCTGAAGTTAACTTTCTAAATTAATTTAACCAAGGTGAAGGAAAAGAAAAAGTAATTTATTAAAAGAAAGTAATATATTAAAAGGAATCTTATATAAAGATCTAGGATTGAACAAGTATTAAAGAAATACTCATCAAGCATTTTCAGAAAGACTGAAATCTGGAAGTTTTATCACTCACCATTCCAGTTTTGAAAATATACAGACTGGGATAACTGTTAATCCCTTTAATTCGACAAAGCATTCTATTATCTCCACAGTTGACAGCTCCAATGCGTATTACTCCATCCATCTCCTTGGCAAACTCCCTCCACTAGACAAAAGGGAAAAAAAAAAGAAAAAAAAAAGGATATATTCCTATAAAGATATAATGAAAAACCAGCACATGTTTTATTCCTGGCATCTTGAATTGTTGTCTTTGGTTTCAGCTTCAGGGAAAAAAATCCACTTCATTAACTATTGTGCTGTTAAAAACTAATGAGTTTTTAGAGTTAGTTTGCTTGTTATACATACCGTAGGTGCTAACTCATGGCAGTGGGAGCATCGAGGAGAATAAAAATTCACAAACCACAGTTCTCCTGAGTTAACAGCAGCATCTAGATGGAGAGAAGAAAATCATAAGTAAGTAATGCACTTCTCCAATCTCGTTCTATCTAGAATGTACATTTTGACTATATTGTTTTCCCCCAAGAGCTGAATTAAGTATTTACATGTTGGACACAGTTAGTAACAGTAACTCTGCACCTCACTCATACATACTTGCTGTTGTAGCCAAGTACACATAAATCGTATTCCAGAGGCTATCACACCCTAACTTTCAATATTTGTTTTATTAATTAAGAATAAATTTACTTTCTGTGGATTAACCTCGCTGAAATATGTGATTATGCAGGTCTAGTTACCTTAAAAACAAAAGACAAGTTCTAAAGATTTTTACCCACTAGAACTTTCCATTTCCTTACATCACTTCATATATTTTCTGGGTTCCACCAGGCAATCTTTTTATGTAGCATCCCTGTCTAATAGGTGAAAATGCAATTTAAAAATCCAAGTTAGTATAATTACTAGAAAAGTCAAGGGAAACAACTACTGTTGCTTATAAAAGAAAGCAACAGCAACAAAATATACACACACAGAAGTTATCAGCTGGAATTAGATGGCTTTTAGTCTTTCTAATTTTGGACATAATTTTGATAGTGAATATAGCCTAATATTAAAATACCCTCACAAACAAGCCAACTAAGGAATGTGTAAATTCTGCAAATCAATTACCCAAAGCAAGACCAGGTTCTGCTTTTAGAAAAGTTTACAAAACTGGTTCAGCATGGAGATCTAGTTAGTACAAAGGAAAGCATACTCAAAATGATGAAAAAAAAAAATCACACAAAATCCAGTATTTTTTCCCTCTAGTCTCTTTTAGTTATAAACATCCTAGCTATAATTTTAAAAGAAAAAAAATGGATGATGTCCTCACTATCTTGCCAGACTTTGTTTTATGTAGCTGTCTTTTTAGTATCTGGTATCGCCTTCTGGTCTTGAACCTCTTGTGCAAGGCACAATTGACTGGATTACACACACACACACACACACACACAAAAAAAAAAGAAATATAACAGAAAAGTTCTACCAAGTGCATTTTTAGACAAGAGACCAAAAAAATAATGACAAATTAGGAGAAAGAAAATTATAATTCACATAATTTCCTCTTAGACATCACACAAAATATCTTTCAAACTTAATCTAAACTGTTTATTGATATTGATCTATTTGCTAACTAGCATTTACCAGGAAGCATTAAAGGGGTTTTTTGTTGTTGTTTTCTCATCTGAAGAAGATTTTCTGACATTTTTTTAATAGAGATGTAATAGAAGTCTATAGATATACAGCTCAGTATGTAAAAATCTGGGGTGCCATATAGTCAAACAGATAGCTATTTATTTAAAACTTACCAAATTCTCCTCTATCCAATGTTATAATTTCAGGATCATCATCATAAATACCTATTTAAAAAAAACAACAATTGCTTCTTATTTTTGGTATCTTTAAAATGAAGAAACAAACCATCATCTTATTTACAAGCCAGAAAACAGAAGACAGTACACTTCATTTTAAATAGTAAGCTGACAAAGATTGTTTTTATAACAAAGCTATATTTGTTTAGTAATATGTAACCTTAGTTTAGTCTCTTGCGAACTTACACACTCATGCTACAAAAGCCACCATCAGAACAGGAAAGTTCTTTTGGTGTTTTAGTAGACCAGCCACCAAGTGAGCAGGGAACTTGAACTACCACTGTCAGAGCAAAACTATTAGAAATAACATCAACCAGCGGTCAGATTAAAATTCAAGAAACTTCAGCTCTCGATGAGAGAGCTGTATGTGATGTCCAGAAGCTTTCACTTCTTCTCTCAGCCTCTGCTTATCTAAACTATTTAGATCACAAAGGTGTTTCAGCCACAAGCTTTTCCACTGACAGAATGTGTGAACACAGTGGAATAAAGTGGACAAAATAAAGGTAAGCTATTTTAGCTTATTCCTGTTACAGCAGTTCTAAGAATGGTTTGTCCCAGCCTTTCCCAGAACTACTTAAAATTTGTTGAGACAAACATTAAATAACTTGCCTCAAGATCATTTTAGGTATGATTCTGGTATTAATTTTTTCATTTTCTGCTACCTCTTTACTGATCTCTAATTGTATAACTGCATATAAAATAGGCTTAACAGCACAAAAATCTCCTCTCAAAATCTACTAAACAAAAAAAGATCTTCCTGCATTAAAGATTTAAAAAGAATACTGATGAAACGTTAACACTGGAATTTACATGAAAAAAACAAAAAGTAAGCTTTGAACTTTAAAAAAATAAACAAGAAGTTATATGAGCAATGAAAAGCTAAGCAGCAGGAACAAAAGGCTAGGTAAACAGATTATTACATTTTCTGGTATTTTTGGGTAGCCATTAACAGGGTAAATAAAAGATTGGGTCAACAGAGAGATAATGACAACTACAGAAGAGCAACAGAGCAGGCAGAAATCTGGAGAGGATACATCAGAAATGTGTAAAAAGATCTGATATAGATCTGAATATTGCATTTACTTGTGAATGTTCTAAGCAAATCACAACCATCCATCATAACTTACCGAAATCATAGCGATAAAAGTGCCAGCTTTCATAACGACCTCCTTGCTGCTGATCTTCAAGACCTTTCTCTCCATATTTATCATACTTCTTTCGCAGATCTTCATCTTTAAGTACTTCATAGGCTCTATTTATTTTCAAAAAATTTTCATGTGCATTTGGATCATTCTATTTAAGGAAAGTTATAATTAGTAAGTAATCAATAAACCATATTGTACATATAATGCAGAGAAAATAATCTTTGGAAATGTTTTTATATCCCTACTAAAGATGTCAGTTGTGATGGAAGAAGAAATTACACGGTGATCTCCAAACAAACTACAGTGAAGTTTTCCTTTCCTGAAGCCACATGTGTCTTCTGCTCATTTCTTCATCCTCACTAAATTACCAATTGAAATATAAAGCAAACTGGTAGGAGGCTATAACATTCTCCAGTGATCCCTCTTCTTTCAACTCTTTCTTCAATGGAAGAAAAAAAAATAAATATTCAGGAATGAAGACTTACCATTTCCTCTATAATCTTTTCTACTCCCCTAGAATCTCCACTTGTCCACTTTGAAAATCTCTGCTATAAAGACAGATTAATCTCTTCTGATCTTATGGTGTAGACAGAGGCCCTCCTTTTTCATTTAAAAAGCATTCTGGTTCTAGGTAGCTTTGGAAATAGAATGGTGAAAAATCTGCAGACATATTTTGAACCACAGTTTGGGTTTTGAACTGGTGCAGTATTAACAGTGGTGAGTAAAATCTGCAGCACTCTCTCACCCTTTTAACTTCTGCTTACACATTTCATGCAAAAGACACTTCTTCTTAAAGATTCTTAACTTATTTACCTAGGTACACATGAAATTAATTACCATTGTGGAATTTGTGTAGCAGCTTCACCTTCTATGTATAATCTTTAATGTTGAAAATAACATGTTGAAAAATCTTTAGTAGTAGTATTTGCATACTTAGAAACTACAGAATCTGACCCAAAATGTTATTATTTTGAAAGGTATCAACATAGGGAAAACAAAACTTGCAGTTAATAGCTACAAATTGGCATTTCTAACTTTGCTGAGATTTGGCTTTCTCTTTGAGCTCTGTCATGTTCAAATCCATTGTATAAGATGAGTGCCTCAGAGGCTTCAACGACTCTGTGCAGTGGGCCCTGAGCTCATATGGAGTATCGGTGTCTTCTGGGACTCCGTGCAGGTGCAGTTGCACATATAAGGATCCAAACCCTCATATTTCCTGTGAATTTCTCATTATTTCAGTAAATCTTGAGGAAAAACTGATGACGTTTAAATTTTAAAATTATTTCTTTGTACTTCAGGAAATATGGTAGCACAGACTAAGCCATTCCCAGTCTTCTCTCTCTAGTCAAGAGCTCCTTATTACCCGCCCTTTTTATGTGTTGGCAGTCCCAGAATTTCCGCTTTGTCCTGTTTGATACTTGGAGACTGATGTCTTAGTACAGGCTGGTGTTGGTTCCTCTTTAGATGAGATTTCATGTTAGGGAAACAGTAAGTTCCCCTAAGCTAAACTGAAAGAGACAAACTCGTCACTTTACCAACAAGGTAAAATGGTACAGATGTAAGTTTTCCTCTATTTATAAAAATATAATTGAGAAATAAATGATCTTGCCTCTTTTTTTTTATACTACAGCAATTTAATATGGCCCAAATTCAACACAACCATGTGAGACCAGTCTATCCCTTTTTGTCAATTTTCTCTGCAGAAAATCTGAGCTGAACCGTGTTATCAGGTGGTTACATTACATCATAAGAACAGAGAAATGTTTTAGATAAATTAAAGCTACTTTTTGTTTGAACGTTAAGATCCATTAACTCAACAACTCTGACTGGTTAAAGATGAAACTTACCTGATTTTTATCAGGGTGCAACTTTAATGCCAGTTTTTTGAATGCTTGTCGTATTTCTCTACTACTTGCTTCTTTGGATACTCCAAGCAAACTATAGAAGTCCTGATCAGTGCACACAAGAACTATTACACATATTAAAACTAGCAATAAAGATCTTTTCAAATATCTAATATAATCTCCTTTGGATACTAAGAACTCCATTTTGAAGTTTTTGGAAAGTTTACAGGTTCTGATTCAAGCAGGCTTTGGGAAGAGTCTCTGGTAAATCCGACAACGTTCAGAGATACAGCCGTATTTATGATGGAGCTCTTCAAAATGCTGGTTGTCCTACTTCATGCCACCAGTCCTGCAAAAGTTACAACCCATAAGCAGAGGGGGGGAAAGCAATTAAGTATATTTTCCTACTTACTCAATAAGTCTATGCAAGTAAAGAACCCCACTGCCAGCCTGTGTACACGGCACGTGAACATTAAGTTTCTTGATGGCTATTTACCTGCTTTCTGAAGACCACACGAGTGACAGTCCATCTCTCGATCACAGATACTGTGAAGGAGGTAATCACACACAGCTGTACTGAATGACATTAAATACCAGCCATTCCATCACATTGTAACAAGCGGTTTCAGCAC